AGAATACGGCGTTTAAATTTATCACCCGCAGCTGACAGAGGCCCCATGTCACAATGAGCTCTACGAATCGGGCATGTACAGTTATGCATTACCACATTTCCATAGTATCTACTTATTAAGCATATATTATAAAGAAAAGAGTTAAGGCATATAACCTAGCTAATTCTTAGAGTCAATTGTGCTGAATTTCAGTGCAAACTTGAATAACATGTTGCATAATAAGAAAAAAGAAAAAAGTATAAAGAGAATAATTAACTTAAAAACTTGTCAACATAATACAGTATAGGTTATACTCATCGCTTCACTAGTGCGTTGAGACAAAGACAGTTCATAGTTTTGTAGTTGACGATCCCGTCATGTTCCAATCCGCCTGAAGTTTCTTCGGGGAAAGGTCTGTTGCTTGTGCAGCGTGTGGAGTTGTGGTGGTTGCATTCCAAAGACCCCAGGAGGTGATTATCTTCATGCCTTCGGCTGGTTCGGTTATAACCAGTGTTCTGCCTTGTCTCCATACCAGAAGTTTCGTTGGGTAACCCCACTTGTAGGAGATGTTATTGTTGCGTAGGGTTTTAGTGATTGTTATGAATTCTTTTCGGCGTGCCATAGTGGAGGCTGATAGGTCAGCAAATAAAAATATATTTTTAAAGGGTTCAGGTAAAGTGCCTGTCTTCCTTGCTGCGTTAAGCAGAGTGTTCTTGTGTGCAAAGTAATGGAACTTCACAATATTGTCTTTAGGGACATCCTGCGCCATACGTGCCGGGCGTGGAAGTCTGTGCATGCGGTCGAAGGTCCATGCAGAGTCAGGTAAGTCTGGGACTAAGATTTTGCAGATAGATAGTATATAAGCAGGAAGAGCGTCGTGGGAGATATCATCCGGTATACCCCTGAATCTTACGTTCTGCCTTCTGGATCTATCCTCTAGATCTGCTAATTTTAATTGAAGTGTATTATTGTCTTCTGAGAGTTTCTGAAGTTTATCTACAACTTCGTTGTGAGCTGCACACAGCTCGTCGGTTTTGTTTTCTAAATGGTTGGTTCTTTCACCCAGCGTTGAAATTTCCTTCCTCAGTTCTCTGTCGATTTGCAGGAAATCCTTCCTAATGGTAGAGCGGAGGTCTTGCAGCATTCTATGCAGACTTCGTTCTGTAATCGCAGAGTCGGATACTTTGGAGGAGATTGATTCAGCATCTGACTGGTCGTCCGACATGCCAGGTGCATCGCCGCCATCTTGTTTTTCTTTCCTCCGGTCTTTTTTCCGGGTTTTCACCGCGTCCATGATCTTGAGCTGTTTGGGGGGTGACATAGTCGTGGGGTATCACCTTGGGAGCACGGGTAGGGAGATAAGTTTGCAGTTTTTGCTTTTGTTGTCGCTATCAGGCTGGAATTTCGGCGGAGCTCTCAAGCCATGCGTCCGCACTCGCCGGAAGTCGGACACGCCCCGGATCAATACTTATTTTCATGTATTCAGACCAGGGTTGTCTTAATGCCTGGGCATGCTGGGCAGTTGCCCAGTGACTCCACGAGCATGTAATTTTTTGAAGCCGTAAAGTTATAATAAAGTTCTTCTAATATTTTTAACAGTCCGTGTCAGTTGTCTCTGCATGCAACCTACTAAACTTTTTTTGTGGAATAATCCCTGCTGTACAGCATGTGTTTTTTTTATTTGGAGGTATTGATAGATAGAAGCCTTATTTTATTGAAGTGAAGTGAAATTTAGAGTACTATAATAACAAGTTCAATAAAGCAAAGTAAAATGATTGTAAAATATAGATCTATGTGATCACTACAATCACTAACCAGTGATCAAAGTCACACATCAACTGTATGAAACTAATTCTAAATGTATTTATTTTATTTTCTCTATCTCTATAGTCTTGATCTCGATTGATGTGAAGCATCCACTGTATTCAAGGGTATGCATTCCTGAATGATGATATTTTGTTGTTTTGTTTTTTAAAAGGGAGATCATCTTTTCTAATTTGATTTGTTTAATTTACATGTTTGAGCATTATATGTAACCTATTCAGTAAAACATGACCTCACTTGGGCTCTGAATTCCTTCAAGTCACTATGCATGTAAGTGACACTAACCCACAGAACTACCCTTTACCTGATGTTAATTAGTATGGAGGATTGTCCTCCATGGTTTGTTGGGAGAGGGTATTGAGGGACTACTCACAGATGCACAATGGTCAGATGTTTCTTATTTGTCTCTGATCTCTATTTATTGGAGGATGGTGAAAATTAACTCTAAGCTTCTTATTCTTATGGTATAGAATACCAGAGTGTCTACACAAGATAATCCCAGAGATACTGATCAATAATTGATGGAGCTATAAAAGTTTTTCACATGTGATAGGATTGTCCAAAGAATTTTCAGTATTGGGAGAAGATGCATGATTTCCTTGAAGAGCTCCTGCCAGATTCCTCTCCTTTTCAAACAGGTCACTGAAAATCATTACTCCATTATTCCATCCATTGCGGAGAAGACCATTACGGTCCACATGATATGTGCTTCAGGGGAACTGAGGACATTAGAGAGATGGAGTCTATGACATCCATACATACTGACATCCATTCATACTGGCATACATACATACTGACATACATCAGCATGCGGACCCCGGTGCAGCTGTATTAGCGGCAGTTTCGCCGCTACACGTGGGGCCCGGGTGATTGGGTCCCCTAGGTCTGTCGGGCCTGTGACAACCGTCATGGTTGTAACTCCCTGATGGCGGTCCTGCTCTCTTGTTTTGATTTAGGTATTAGACTATCCTTTTCTCTTTCCATTTTTACCTTCCATCCACTCCACTCCTTTCCAGATAATAAAAATAGCTTTGAACTGACTTTCGAACCATATTTGTTATTGAATCTGGGGGAAATTTTTTCTTGGTGGGAGAGGTAAATTAAGTAATACCACTATATTGATTACTTGATGTCACTGCAACTTTGTATTTTCCTGGTTTGTATTGTAGACTTAATCAAACTTGGTGTTAAATATATATATATATATGAATGATAAAGTTATATACCGAGGTTGTTTTGTTTGTCATATTAAGATATGAGTTTGGGTCAACCTTATAATGCTAAACAGAAGTGTCTATCTCAATATAACTAATAACAACATATTTTATGTACCATACAAAACTATAAATTAATTCTTATTCATTATGCATGCTGTCTCTTTATATAACTCACTTAAGCAATACAACTGAAGAGAAACAAAGTGTGTGAGAGAGAGACAGAGAGAGAGAGAGAGAGAGAGAGAGAGAGAAAGAGTCAATATGTAACGTATGCCAAGTATTGTCAAAGTCAATACATAACAGAAAAACAGACATGAAATACCTATTTTATTTGGCTGAAATATAATTGGATAGTGGTTAACATAAAATATATTTATGCTTCTAAATTTAATTACATCAAATCAAATACTAGCTTACAGTACACAATTCCAGTTTTAGAACTGAAAAATTCTATATATAGTAAATATATTCTTCCTTATCTTAATGTAACTCTGTCTGCTAAGTATCAAAATAAACCAATTGTCCAAAGCTGAGATACATTGTGACCTTTAATACAGACCAGAATAGAAAGGAAATTAAATTATAAATACAAAAACAAACTGTCATGTATTTTCCAACATAATAACAGGACATAAAATCGAATGTATTTTGGATGATGAAGTCTTAATCTACAGCTCAGTATGAGAGATATCCTCAGCAGTACTTGAGATTTTATAACAATGAGGAGCATTTTTTATTATACTGGATAGAAAGAAGAATTGTATTTGATGTGAAGTTTCAGCCATAAAAATTGTCTTCCGACTGATGAAGATCTTTGATTATACATGCTCATGTCAGAATACCATGATATTTGTAAATAAGCAATTTTGTCCAAAATAATCTACCTTTTACTCCAGAGAATATATATATTTATAACTCTTCTACAGATAGATTAGTTTCAAATATTTATCATTGTGGTGGAAACAAGGGAAATAAGTAGACGCTCACTATAACCTATAAGAGTACCGGCAGCAGTAAATCTTTCCAAGGATTCCCAAACATTGTGTGAAATATGAAATAGACCAAAAAGAGTTAGATAAACTGAACCGTGCCAAGAAAACAACACCTAGGTACAATCTAAATTAGCATAAATGTATATTCATGAACCAAGCAAAATGCTTGAAATTGAATAAACTCAAAAAATAACAAATAGACAATATGTATTTGTAGTGTATAGGTTTAGTTGAACTTGTATAAAAGACTAACTCACTCTTTCGAGAGCTACTGAGAGCTGTGCTATATTCCGCATGGTCTGTACAATCCCTGTCTCAGGATATAAATTGATCCACAATAGGGGGCGGTCCCCACACCAAGTGAAAAAAACACTATGTGAAAATAAAAGAGGAAAGATCCAATGGTAAATATAACTTAAAAAGAAATATCCTTCTTACAATTTTAGAGCAAGAACCTGCTGTAGTAGTTGAAGGCTTTGGTGGAATAATCCCCACATGGATAAAGGAATTAACTTTATTAAATATAATATATAGTAAGCATCTTAAAAAACAAAAACAAAAAACAAAACCTGCTAAAATAATACAATATAAGATCAATACAGTCCAAATGGGCACCAATACCACACTTAATGCGTGTTATCCAGAAGGGCTTCTTCAAAAGTATGTTGATCTCCTGTATTAACCAAATATAAATAGGTAGGCAATTATGATCCATTGGGTTCTAGTGTTCTACGACAATCATATGCTGTGTATTGACTTCCTGTACCCTGTCTTGATCACATGAGTTGACCCAGCAGTCTCAAGCATTCTAGGGCCAGAGGCGGCAGTCAGTGTGGGCAGTTTGGGCAGTTTGTAATATTTATTTTCCGGCACAGTCTGTATACGTTACTGGTATTAAAGATTCTGGCTTTCATGGTATTACCTGGTAGTGATCGTGGCACAGGATATGACGTGTCGCGTCGCTACCACAGGTAGTCCGTACATTATTTTGGATATGGGTATAATGTAGTATAATAGGAAAGATATAAATAATCAGCAATAATGAAAAGCAGTTAAGATATACAAAGTATGTGTAATACTTTGTATAAGATATAAGATAGTAAAAACTGTATATAGAGAATCTCTCCATATATGAAAAAAAAAATCCCTCTTTATAAAAAATATGCACATATAAAATGCATATAAGAAAGAACAATAGTAGCTAAAAACCTATGAGGCAAACATTTCTAAACCTATATACAAATATAATTGTAGGTAGCTTTGAGTTCCCAAATGGTCGACATTAGTGCCTGTTTTTCTTATAGCACCAACATGGAATCTAGTTTGAATGGCACAACATCAGATATCCAAGAATATAGAACTAAACATGACATTTGATAGTCAAATGTGATTGCTCTGGACTTACGGTAAGTAAGCTGTTGCATCTTATGTCCCCTGTTACCTACCTAATGGTGTTTATGCCACTTGCCAATTTAAGTGGTTCACCTAGCTCAAAGCATTTATCTAAGGATTCACTTCTTTGCCAGCTTACTCCCCATTATAGATGGTGGTTTGTCATTGTCATATTTTACCTCAATGTATTCAATAAGATGCTACAATATATTCTTGACACTTAAATGTTCAGTCTAGTCCAGCCATATCCTGTTTCTGTTCAGTACTTTTGTCATATGTCCATATGTTTTAAGTGTCTGACCATACAAATTTGCTTGTGCTGAGCAGAATTACTATTATAGCAATACATTAATAGTATGTTAAAATTAACTTAAACCATGATCATTTAGTCCCAGATCACTTCCACCGTGGGTGAACAATCCAATTATTGATTAATTCAGCCTCACTATGCTAGGGAGAGCTGATATTCAAGAAGAAAAAAAAAACTATCTCTATGATTCACAAGCTAATTATCCTTGAACTAAATTTTCTGACATTTGGTAAAAAAGCTAATACTTCCAAAAGATTATGAGATCACACTTTCACAATCCACTTTTTTTTTCTGAAAAATGAAGATTAATCAAATGTGTGTCCTCACTACCTGCATTCTCTGATCTTATTACTGAAACACTGTAAAGATAATTCTGATTGCAGGGCATTGCAGGCAGAATTTTCATGCCTCCTCGAGTTTATAGTTACTCATTTTAGAATACGGAAACCATCTTATGGAATGTCGTTTAATATGGTTAGATTAATACCATTTAAATTACGCAGAATGCTCTGAATCAGTAGCAATTAAACAATATTTTACACCAAAAATATTAATTACTGCTTACCTGGTTACAATTGGAAGGATTTCATCTGCTATTTATTTTAATAATAACAATGACAAATAAATTGTTTTGACAGTGGACATAATTTTAGGGAAACCTTACAAAATAATATTTTGCTACAACTGCTGCTACAAACTCAGTGCTA